GAGCTAAATATTGCGCCTTGCGTTTGCCTCTCCCTAAAAAAATGCAAAATCAATCCGGCGACTGGCTCCGGCAGCCAATCAAATAGGCCGGATTGACGGCCGAATGGAACTTGAGCTGTGATTTCTCTAGCTCCGGCAGCCAATCAAACACACCGGATTGGCGGCCGAATGGAACTTGAACAGTGATTTCTCTGGCTCTGGCAGCCAACCAAACACGCCGGATTGGCGGCCAAATGGAACTTGACCTGTGATTTATCTGGCTCCGGCAGCCAATCAAACACGCCAGTATTGGCGGCCCAATGCAACTTGACCTGTGGTTTCTCTGGCTCCGGCAGCCAATCAAACACGCCGGATTGACGGCCGAATGTAGCTTGACCTGTGACTTATCTGGCTCCGGCAGCCAATCAAACACGCCGGGAAGGCGGCCGAATGGAACTTGACCTGTGATTTATCTGGCTCCGGCAGCCAATCAAACACGCCGGATTCGCGGCCGAGTGCAACTTGATCTGTGATTTCTCTCGAACATACACAGCAGACAGCAGCCGCACGAATATTCTTGGCGCCATTTGGACGCGTCCTGAACCAATATATCCCGGGAAAACTCATCGAGAGACAGATCTTCCCAGAAATAGACAGGTGTCATACATCTTACCCCTCCCGCTTAGAGAGGGCTGCAATATCAAAAATACACTTTGTTCGATTGACTTGCATAACCCGGCTGACCAGGCGTTTTCTTAAAACTGAAACGACAATCTCCACTCATTACCGTCGTGCATCGGTGTGCTCTTGGCTGCTAATGCTCGTGACTAAATGGGAAGAGAGCAAAGTTGCTGGAGCCAGTTGTTCGATCACAGAGAAACTGGTGCCAATTGTATCGTTCTCCTCTATATCATGACGTGGGCTAGAGGCTCCGCCGTACGGGGATAAGTTCCCCATCTCTATCGAATTTGACGTGATGCCTATCGGTGTCGTATTCTTTTATATAAATACCCAAGAACAGGTAACCAGGAGTGTCCCTCCGCTATCCCAGCCACGCAATAAACCGTACGGTAACATAAAAAAAAACATAAAATCAAGTCGCGGCACTCCCAGCTAGGAAGAGAAAACAAACATAGAGAAGCATGCGAAGAGGTGGTGCAGGCCCGGCAGGAATTGTGTTATGCAAAAGGCAAGGACAAATCATACATGAGAAGGCTTCACACAGTCATAGCCAAAGTCAGCTAATGACAGCCCGCTACAACCACCCAATCGGCTACAACCACTCATTCGCAGTGTTAGTAAAGGTTGTACAGTTACACGAGTCGGAGGGGCAATTCACTGGTCATTTTTCGTGCTGGGTCTTGAGCTGGATGTCCAGGGAGTCCACCCAGTTAAGCGGAGCTTGTTGCTGGGAGAGCTCGTGGGGCCAGCGCCATGAATTTGGGTACAAGTGCATACATACAACTATATCAGAACGTGAAGAGGAACGTCTCACTCAAGCCCGTTCAGGATTTGCCCGTTCATTATTGAACAGGATTCTCAGATTGTGTGCCTCTAGCGCAGACATACAACCTTCAGAGAATAGTACCTGGGTGATGATACATGGAAAACTGTGTCACGGCTGAGATGGATCAAGTTCTTAAGGCCAAACGAGCACGAAAATTGGTCATTAACGTCGGTCAACAATAAGGAACGAAATGATCCACGTAAAGGGCATCGACACCGTAAGTCGGGCAATAGATCGGCAATCAGCAAGGTCACGCACGTAGAACAAAAAGTGTTGCATAGTTATGACACAACTGCTGAGAAATTAAACAAAAAATCAATGAAATCCATAAATTTGTCAATAAATTACCAAATTTGTCGTCAAACGACACCAAATTTAACCGCGGTCGAGGCCACATTAAATATGAGGCAGCCTGGAACGCAAATCAATGACGCTTATGTACTGACAAAAAAGTTCCCCCTAAAAGAGAATGTTCCACATCTGAAAATACTGAAACAAACATCAGATATGATGCAATCAGCTCACGTATAACTACTGGCACACTTTTAAGTGAAAAAGACCACTCTAGTCAACGCAATTTCTGTTTGGCAAATGTAATGCTCAATACGCCGTTGTTTGGCAGCGTCGTCGTACCTTACACCTTGATTGAGAAACCAGGCTAACGAAGTGAATATGAACGACTCGACAATTATATTCGTATTGGCCTTGACCGCAGCATGGCCGACGGAATATAAGGAGTTGAATAACATTATGACGTCATGGATGTCTAGGTGAGCTTGAAATAACATTCCCAAACAGTACGCATATATTCGAGGGCGTATCGCTCACAAACATGAAGGGGACACTGCTCTGGAACAACACCCAGAATGGGAAGGGGGGTGTACTTTACCGAATAATCTTTAAGATGACCATCATAGTTCAAAACTCCATACAAATGTGGAGCACTCGCTTTGACAGTGAAGTTTGCCAGATACCCACGCACCCGTCCGAACTCTCAGACGCGTGACATGTTCCCGATCGGGCGTTGTTTGGAAACCTCTCGGCCTTCTGCGAACGGCGGCGCCCGCTCCCCTCCAATAGATATTGACGTTGAGCATTGGCAAATTCGAAGTGAGAGCCCTAGACACAACATCAGAAACAGACATCGCTCCGCGAAAGCTTGACACCGTTCGCCGGCTGCTGGACCGCGCCAGACGCTCGTCCGTTGGCGGGGCCGGCCGGCGACCCGGCGACCGGACGTCCCGGCTGCCAGACTGTGGCTGAAGAGGTCACCGACCGATTTGGGTGGTTTGGGGTTATATCGACGTATTGTCCTCGTGCCAACGGATGCATCCAGGGCTGTCTGATGTCACGTTGAAGCTCTAAGTAGCTTCTACTTTAGGAAAACACAGCGGTAGAGATTTTACCCCCCCCCCCCCCCCCTCCAGAGCTTATCTAGTTCTGGCTGTCGAGATCGCAACCTTCATCTTTAAAGAAAATATGCTTCGTATATTTTTCTACACTCGTGACCGCACAAGGGTTGTCAAAGTCATGCAATGTCTGCGCCAATAACGCACTTCTTCCGCTCAATAACAGACACATCGTCCGGGCAACAAAGTGGGCAATACTTTTTATATTCCTTCTGCACAAGCTGGTGGCTGAAATTATATAGGAAACCAAATGCCTTTGAAATCATGCAAGCAGACCGTAAATGTGGCTAAACTCTTGCCAACAACATGCATATTATCCTGGTACGTGACGAGAGCTGCAATAACACTGGAGAAACCACTCGTATAGCGATACGTGTTACAGGCGCGACAGACACACGAATACTTCCTTTCAATGGGATTATCTATCATCGTCTATCAGATCTCATCAGGCCCTGTGTCATACTCAGTTACGGTTTGAAGAACAAAATCAGGAGAGAACGCAATGGGGATTGTATTCCGTTTTCCAGGGCAGCAGTGAGCAATGGATTACAGCTCCCTTATTAGACAGGATTGTAAATTGGATTGCATTCCTTTTTAAGGAATCGTGCCTCTTACTCGCTGCATATCGTATACCTCACAGTGGGATGCTCGATTTCTGTGATGTTGTGTTCCAGTAATGCAGTGACACCAGCATTTTTTTCCGAAAATTGCGGTATAGTATGCGCATTAAATTAGAAGCAGCAACGCAAAACGAGCAACAAGACGTTAAGGGTCTCTCTTCACCCATTTCTTGCTTGCCGATACCACACATTTAATGGTATGCAAGTCCGGAAGGGAATTTTGCACCTAACTGAAACATGATCCGTCCATAATGCTTCTACTGTCACGGGGGGGGGGGGGGAGGAGGAGGAATCCATCCCTCATGAATCCAGGTCGCTGCGGCCGCGTAGAAATAGAGTTAACAGACATGATGCTCTCAGCCCTCTCCTTTGGAGCCGCGCTGGAGCGTCTTTATGCACGGCAGTCACCAACAATTGTTGTAAAAATTGAAACGGGACGTTACATTCAGTGCTGCGCATACAACCACTCCGCATAACGTAACCACGTCTTACGACAAACGGAGGCCATTACGACCAGCGGCACCCGCCACAGACTGCATATTCAAATTACGCCCTCATGCAGTGGTCCCCAGTCAGTGATAGGTGAAGGTGAAAGGAACCGTGCGAGCCACCGGGAATGACAAGTGAGCCCATTTGGCCACCACACACCGCAATGCTACGCATAACTCGCAGTCAATGATAATAACTAATGATAATACGATAATAACTCGCTATATACTATGATAACAATGATAATATATTACAATAATAACTATGATAATAACTATGATAATATTATATGATAATATGATGATAACAATGATAATAACTCGCCTCATCCTGTGGTATAACACCAGCATCACCATAGTCATAGCTTAAGCGCCACCTAACCCGTTCTCCGGCTGGAAATTCATACCCGCAAACGGAAAATGTGGCCCTGGAACCCCGACGCCGCCGCCAATGCGCTGGTTTCCGCGGACCCCGGCGCGTTAGCGACAGCACAGCCCCCCACCCGCAGGAGCACACGCACCGGTGCGCCACAAACGCCCCGGCGACAGGCGCGCGCCATTGGCGGTGCGCGACACGCGCGGGCAATGGGGCGCGAAGCCCGGCGGGCGGCGGTCTCATCACGATACACAAGAAAACACGTGGGAGGGGTGAAGGCTCGTAATGCAGCTGATGCATCGCACCCGATTTGACTCGTGACGCTACCAAAGGAAAACCGCCATTTATTACGTGAAAACCGTCCTTATTGCGTTGAGCGTCATTATCAAACATTACAGTTTTCATATTAAAGATTAAAATTTCGCGCTCCTTGACATAAAATAATTTAACAGATGCATTGCGAGCACTTCCAAAGATGGGATAGGATGATTCCTTGGCCAAATGAAACAATACAAGCTACTTTAAAGTATATATTAAATAACACCACTGATATGACTATAGCAATATACTTAGGTGAGTGGAACGACCACACATGAAATCGCAAACGAGAAATATATTTACCTTTTCAACGCGGTCATAGTTTCTAGCTTTCAGCTGAAATAATAAAAGAAAGCAGTCAACGTCAAACAGTTGCACTATGACACAGTCACGCACCACATCTCGAAACAGTGTCAGATTCCCGAGCAGCCAGTTCGGCCTCCAGGGCCAAAAACAACGTTCCTTAAGCAGCCCATGGAAGCCCATGACCCCACATAACGATCATGCCGTGCGTCTGTCACACATACTGCCGTGTGAAAAACGGCCAATGCCGTCACAACTGAGATCGATCCCACACAGCCTCTGCTCGGCAAGCCCTGAGCATCACTGATACCATCACAGCGCTCGGCTATCTTTTGCAGCCGACCTCAGCACTGACCAGGGCCACTGGCGCCGGCCCGAGCGCCGCCCACTGGCGCCGGCCCGAGCGCGCCCCGCGCCCTCGTGTCCGGCCGCCGGCGCGCGCGTTACCTCCTGCTCAATGTACTGCTTCCAGAAGCGGCCGGACGAGTGGAAGACGGTGACGAGCCGCTCGAAGACGTCGCGCGCCGCGTCCACCTGCCAGCCGGCCGCCTGGTGCAGCAGGTAGCTCCAGCCCTCCAAGTCGTACGGGTTGTCGCGCGTGATCCGCTGCGCCCTCTCCAGCTTCTCGTCGGCGCGTCCCTCCTGCGGCGCCAGCGTCCCGCGCGCAGGCAAGGTCAGAGGCGGGCCGACCCGATAGGACGCCGGCGACGGGGCAGACGGGCTGGGCCACCACGGCGGCGCGGGATGGGATGACGGAAATGGAGGACGGTTGCCAGCGCACCCATCTTTTTGGCTGGGCACTAGGCACAGGGATGTAGTTCCTTATTCACTACGGAGGGATGGAGGTCACCCCAAAACTGAGACAAGAAAGCGGGCTAAATCCCGGGAGAAACGTGTTTTTTGCCTATTTTAAGTAGGCTAGGCCATTTTTCGTAATCAACCCTCCAAACCATTTTTGCGAAACTGCATCCTACACTAAACACGCAACCACCACACTGGATGCGGGATAGGTGTGTGAATGCGGTTGATAGTGGCTGGCGAGTGAAACATGTGGGGTGCCAAATAGGTCTCCGCTTCAATAGCACCCAACAAGAGCAAGGATCTGTACTCTTTTCGGAGAGGTTAAGGTATTCTTCGCGCCATTAGAGGGCTGGCGCATGCCTGATTCGTGCTGTTAAGGTGGCCGTGGATGACAACCACTAAACTACTCATACATAAATGACATATTAAGATGTCTGCTTCCCCTCCCCCCCGGGATCCGACCCCTGGCGGCTGCTTGTAAATCAACACTTCGCCCAGAAACTGCCGCATGCATTTATTGTTTTCATTTAAATGAGAGTCAGGCTGGTAGTTTAAACAAAACAGCCAATGAAACTTATGGCACTTACTAACCGGTAATTACAGGTGCAGATAGAAATGGTACTAAAACATTATTGTTGTTTATTGGTGTTTTCGGGCATGCCAACTGCAGTGGTCATTTGGCGCCCATGTACTAAAACATTGAAAATGAGCACATTGTCATATCTTATTCAACCTGCACTGACCTGAACAAGAATTACGCATGGAGCATATGCATATGGCTTTTTGTGAACACCTACCACCATGAACATAACTATTCGCAATTCGTGGAGTTTCGGAGGTGTAAATTTACTCTGCCCTCTCCCTCTAGTGCAATTATCTTCACCGCACTGCGGGCAGACACCTTAAATTTCAGCAGTTGTAGGCACCTAACATGTCTGCTGAGTCATCTATTCTGCTTCTTTAATTGTTTTAACATGGGAGGGACTTTACTTACTTGCCCCACATGCCAGTCTTTCGTTCTTCACCTTTCAAGCACCTTTGCAAAATATCTTTTCTTTGTTATGGCAACTTCATATGGGCCAGAAAGGCAGGAGCTACTGGTTATACAGCATTGTGACTTGGAGTTATCATTCTAAAACTCTCCAGCATTCAATAATTGTGATTCAAATCAAATCTCAGCACACAAAATAAACAAAAATTTCCTTGATAACAACATTTAACCAGCACCTCCTGCTACACTGACAGCCAGTTGTCAGAATAAGAGCTCCCACCCCCTTTATACTGAAAACTGGCAATGTGTTACACTAATATTTTGTAAAGCTACTGAGATTGCTGTGCACTATTTTCACCTCATGGAAATTGTGCCATCACAAAACTACATTACCTTCCATTGCAGAGGCCCTTACTCCCTCTCTAAATGAAAATAGAATCCTGGTTGAAGACCTCCCTCTTTAAATGAAAATAGAATCCTGGTTGAAGACATCAGGTCCAAAACAACTTAGTCATAAACATTAATGCAACTTCACCAAAATGACCATAGAAGGGATACTTCAGTGCCACTTTCAAGTTCTGAGAACAAGGGTGTACCACACACATTTATCTGTAATTTGTGGGCACACAACCAAATGTACACCTTACAGCTGGCTACATGCTAAGTCGCACAATTTCATATGTTGTGTATAACTGCCATAAATAAATGATGATAATGAGATATCCAGTATACCCTTTTGCTACCACTGTTTTTCAAGTGTCTGGAAACCGACAACAAAAAATCTGAAAATGTAGATAGCGTGTGAGGTTTTTCACAGCAAAGGAAAAAAGTATTAGTAATGTTGGTGACCAAGAAAACCTTGTTTTTCTTGATGATGACAGTACATTGCGCCATCTAGTGCTACTAAGCTAATCATGTACCTTAATAAACTGGGGGGAGGGGGTGCTTGGCTTTCCAGCCTGCATCTTTAAGCTCCTGCCCAGACAATAATCATTTGACAAGTAAAAACTGGATATTTTCTGAGATGCTCATAATCACCTCCCTAATACAACAATCAAGGTATGGTTGGCAAAAGCTGGGTTAAAATCATCATAATAGTATTACCACTAGTGCTCAATGGGATGGTGCTTGAAGGCACTTGCTCAAACCATTCGGAAACAAACTAAAATATAGCTGGGCTGACTCAATACTTTAATGCCAGGTGTGAAAGCCAGTCAAACACTGTACAATTGTCCAAGGGCTGAAATTCTGCACCTGAGGAGTGGTGATTGTAAAACCAGGGCCTGAAATCTAACATGCACCAACAATGTCCAAATACCATGAACCCAACTTTCCAGAGGGCCAACAGGTCAAATAAGTTCTCTAAACTGCTAATTTTGCCATTTTTGCAACCAATGTTAAATGAGGATAAGTGTAAGCAAACCCATTCTGACATATCCCTCCTGTTCCATTGCTCCACATATAGCTGTGGCCTGGGTAGATCCAACAAAATTAATGGCCAAAACAGCCTGTAGCCTTTGATAAGACTGATAGACCTTGATAAGTTAAATGATAATAATATATGGCTGCTGAAAGACTGGAAGGTTTGATGAGAGTTGAAGAATAGATGAGACAACTTCATGTTTTTAATTATAAACAGATCAGCAATGCAGACTAAATAGTACCTTTCCACCAGCAAGAACCTTTTTCAAGTGACAGGATGAGGCTACATTTTGTTAGCTGTCTGACCACTGGCATACCAATGCAAGTACAACTCCATATTTCATGTACTTATGCATGGGAATGCAATCTGAGGACTGAGCAAGATAAAATCAGTGGTGTATGAAGAATTCCGAGACAAGTCAGTATGTGTGATGTGTTCTGGTCACAGACATGAGTAATGCTCTCGTGGCAAGGTAAAAGCAACACCATAAAGTTTGCCTGAATTTGTCATCATTTCAGCCCTTAAACAGCAAATTATGGGTGGACTATAACCATCTTAGATGATACCAGTAGAACAAATAGGTCTTGTCAGTCCTAGAAGTCTGTGTAGCCCACCATATTACCACCATTGGAAGTACCCCAGTTTCCTTACTTCTTCAGGCAGTTTAGGAATCCTGTACACGCTCACAGCGATTCCAGACTCTGCAGCTGGTAAGATATTAATGACTTCAGAAGGAAATTGACCCATGAATAATATAATACCACTTTAATAAGCAAATGCATGGTTCAAAATGGGTCAATATTACCCCTACAAGCTATAGCATACACCATCTTGAATGTGGAAAGTGGGTTGCTTACCATCAGACATAAAACAAGACTGTAAGTGGACTGTGGTCACTTACAAAGAACATAAGTATGAAACATGTAATATGCCTGCATCGAACAATACTCACCATTTGAAATGCGTGCAGCAGATCAAAAATAACAATTCTATCTGGCTCCCGGCTTCACCTCTTCAGCCGGAACCCCGGCATTATAGATGCCCAGAATATACCGTTACGGTGAAAAATTGCCTTGCCAAAAACACCCTGCTTCTCCACAGCTCACAAAAAATCACGTGAAACCAGTTTCCTTCCTTTCACCCCGCCACAAATCTCAAACACCCACATACAACCGCAGCACGTATAACGCTTTCCCTACATAAATGACGCACATGCTCGCGCGCTTACAAACATAAGTCTGTCATTCAAATTGGCGCAGTACAACATATCGTCGTCTTAAATGACCTAGATTAAAGTACTGCCCTAACATGCACGTAACTTGTTTTGTTGTATAGGCGCTCCGTAGGGTCCTAAGTTCATGACTTAGCCGCAGGGTCAGACAGAAGCGCATTCAAGAGGACCTTATCATACATGACCATGGAAATGGAAGCTGTCCCACTCTTTCACCACCCAGGTGACAGAGTTGCATGAGAGAGAAGCTAAAATACCCAAATACGACGGCACCCCTGTGCTCAAATAAATGAACAATCCAGGCAGCGAATGACCCTAATTCTGGAAGAATAGGCACCCTTACCCCTCAAAGGCAGTGTCACTCTCAGACACAGGGACTTCCTCAATCCCAAGTGAAGACGCCCCAAGCCTGAGCGCAGCCGACCCCAAGTCTGGGTAGACAGCCCCAGTTGCGCATCCCTGATCTTATTCGTTTTAATATTCAAAATTGTCTTTATGACGAGGGGTGACGTGGGCTCCATGAGAGTGCATCATAACAATCTTAAACGTTCTGTCGGAAGCCACCAATGGTAATAAATAAATCATGGTGCACCGCAGGGGTGTCAGTTTTCGTAAATTATTGGGGGCCGAACCGAAGGCCCACTTTAAGGCACCGTTGGCGCTTCTATGACGGTCATGGGAGGCGGCACGTATTTTGGTTGTGGGGGACGGGAGCGGGCTTAAACATGAAGGACTTACGTCATCCCCATATTCCAGAGCTTTTCACTTTAGCCCCACAAACTATTGCGTATCTTATGGCGCTAGGTGTGTGAAGTTTATTGCATCGTTTAACCGCTCAGCCGTTACGATTTTTATCTTGCGGTGAGAGCAACCATGACATTTTGTTACGAAGGTGGTACGAGACTCCCACTGCGCAGAAAGATCAAAGAAGCTAGTTTGTGTGTTATAATCATATTTTACCCACGTTTTTGTAGTATTCCAGCCAAAAACATTGGGGAAGTGGAGGCAAACCAACATTAGCGGCCCAACTCAACATTAGGGGGGAAGGGGGGCAGGACCATCACAAAAGAATACAAATCGACACCTGCGGTACATCGTTAACCACAATGTGAAACAGAACCGATCTGACCGTCAACATTCTGGAATCAAACATGACGGATGTGGGAATCAAATATTTTGAATCAAATATTCTGATTCCCAGGCAGTCAATCTATACGGGAATCTGCGAAGTGCGTTCGAACGATCGCACGATGTAATGTTGTGGTTCGCTCCGACGAGTACCATGGATTGGTTCCTGTATGCGAACTTCTGCTCAGAGCCGGTAACTTCGCGTTTTTTTAAAGGAATTCACGTCGCACCGTTTTCTCAGTGTTATAGAACATCACATGGGATGGTGTACGTCCTTATGACTTCCGTAGCTGGTAATGATGACGAACAGCATTGTTTTAGTGCAGCCAGGCGCAGTGGCCTATACACATGGTCGTTGCACGAGCGGGGCCCCCACCCTCATCAAATTTGTTGTGTGTCTTGATATATGCGCGAATGAATTTTAGCGGTTAAAAACCTTCGATGCAAGCATCGAAAAATCACTGCATCGAGGCTGATGGCAAGTTGTGTTGTTTTACACTATGCAAGAAATTTCGCGGCGCAACTGCAACAACCCTCTCCCTCTCCCTCACAAAATCCTGGGTACGTCCCAGGGGAGGGCACAGGGGGCACTTGTCCCCCTAGGTTCTGAGGAGCCCAAAGGGCCCTTCCAGACCTAGGATTAAGGGCCCGAAGGCCCCGAAAGGCCGACCGGAGGTCACATTCGGGGACCTGGCCCGCAGGGCGGGCACTTCAATGCCATTCAGAAGGCCCCACGCGCTGGTCAGTGTCGATAAGGGCCTATATGTCGGCCAGACTCCACCAATTACACACAATCGGCTCCGTGTCGGCATGAGCCTGACGGCCCATTCCCCAAGCAGGGACAAAGCGTAAGCTAGCAATTTACGTAACCCGGGGCCCTGGGTCTGTCAGTGGACCCAGAGCGTCTAGCAGGAGCTCCCATGTTGTCAAGGGGCCTGATTCGGCCAGAGGCAGTGTTCAATGAGGCTCGAAGAGCCCGGAGGGCCCAACGGAACCGACGATCAAGGGACCGACTGGAGGGCTTGAAGGCACAAAATGCTTATCGGGTCTCATTCAGAGCCTCCAGCCTGCAGGCAAAGACCCTCAAATGACAGTCAGGGGGTCTTTTGCACCGATCGGACAACCCTTAAGTCAACAGGGGCCTATTTGTAGGCCAGGCACCAGTACTGTACTGTCATCTCCGTGTGGATATGGGCCTAAGGGTCGCTTTCCAACCAGCTACAAAGCCGGGACAGCGATTTCTACTGGTCGGGGCCGCTGTATCTGGCAGGAGCCCGCAGCGCCTAATAGAGGGTCCCGTGCTCGTGAGCGGCTCCGAGCCGACCAAGGGCAGTATTTAACGAGACCCGAAGAGGGGTTCAGGCGGCCCAAGGGAACCGACGACCTAAAATATTGTCAGAGGTCTTCTTGCACCGTTTGAGCATCCCCTGACACAGTGCGGTTATCTCCGTTGGTCAGAGAACACGAACACTGAACAGTTGGATCCCTGTCAGTCTGAACCTAAGAGGCCCATTTCACAAGCATGGGCAAGGCCGGGGCCACGACTTCTATCGGTCTGGGCCTCTGAAACAGTGGTTGGAGCCCATGTGTCGATCAGGGGCCCACAGCGCCTATCAGTGGGTCATATGTGAGCTAGTGGCTCCGAGTCGGTCGCAGGTTTTGTTTGAGGAGATTCAAAGAGAGGACGAATGGCCCTCGGCAGCAAATATTAATGACCCGATTGAAAGGCTGAAGGGCCAAAGGGCTGGCAGTAAGTCACATTTATTACCCTCGCCCGTAGGGCCGTGATTTCAGATGTCAGTTGGAAGGTCTTTTAGGGACCAACTGAGGACCCCTGAGACAGAGCGTTGCCCTATTCCGGCCAGAGATCGCCGACACGAAACGGTCGGTTCCATGTCGGTCTGTCTCTTGGAGCCCATTTTCCAAGCAGGGACAAGGCCGGGCCCGCGATTTGCATTGGTCGGGGCCCTTGCAACAATGTGGGTCTCTTGTATCGTTCAGGGGCCTAGAGCCTAAAAGAGTGTACTGTGTCAACAAGGGGCTTCGATTCGGTCAAGGAAACATTTACTGAACAGGGACGGAGACGGGACCCGAATGACAGAGGACCTCTTGTGCTGGTCGGGGCTCTCTGATACAGGTGAGATATGATGCATTCCTCTAAAGGCTTCCAGATCAACCACGGGATCCCGCCGCAGGCCGCCAGAATGGCAGCCGGAAGACACCCCGCGGTGGAACGAAATGGCCCTTCAGCTCCTGACCAGGAGCAGTAATGTGCCTCCTCATGTTCTACTCAAGACACCCCTCTCCACAGAAAGAAATAAAGGGTCTCATTAGTGATGAGAATGGTGTGTAAAAATAGGTTTAAAAACAAAAAGGGCATCCATGTTTGGCTGAAAACGTTCATTCTTTTGCAAAATGGATCAGCGAAACAAATTACATCAAAAGGTTTGAGCCTAGGCGCCCGAAATCTCGGGAGCGCGGACAGCGATGGTCTGGGCTGCAATTTCTGGAATACCGAACGGCCTTGGCCACTGTTTTTTCATGTATAGTCTACATTTGCGGGGTCCATACTATCTCTGTAGGACCCAGATCAAGGTAATGACGAAGCTCCTGAGTTCTATCTGTTTAGAAAGAGTCCATTGGACCTTGGTAAAATGGAGAGCATCGGTATTCTGTTTCATTCAATCGTTCAACGCATGATTTCTTCAGTTGAATGAATTCATTTAGGTCACACACAGTCAGGCAGAATTTAACTCGCGGGAGCTTCTGAATTTTATACCAGCTACAGAAGGAAAAAAAGAAAAATGCCAATGAAAATACTACCTTTGCTAACAAATGGGTCATACCTGGCAACTTTTTTTGGGGGGAGAGGACTTTCACTATCAGGGGCCCTTTTTTAAACCTGCACCCCCTTGCGAAGGTTCTGGCTGCACGCCTGCATGTCCGAGAACGTCATCTCAAGTCCGAACAGGCATTGCAGGTCTGGGAGGGGGTGGGGCTGGGGCAACGTTTGAGGCTTTGGAGCCTTCTTTTATGTATATGAGGACACATTGTCATACTTAAGGGACGCTTTTCCACGCATTGGGGGTACATGGTCTGATCTAAGGATAACCCCAGGCCTTAGGCCTGCGCATTTCCAGGCCAAGGAACGCTGATAGTTCGGAGTGCCCCTCTCTCGTCTCGGGAATCATTTTCAGGTCTGAACACGCCTTTTTTAATATAAGAGCATTTTCCAGCTTAGGTATCGAACTGAAGATCTGTGAACTGAGTGGAAGGCGGATGGATTGACTTGGATCGTGAGATCTGATTGCACTGGACCAGAAAATACGGCCAAAAGTTTGATAGATGGGCTAATGCGTGCAAAGCTCCACTGCCAGACACACACATTTTAGCTGCGTAAGTGCGGGTGCCACGCTAGATATCAAGGCCCTCCTTCATCTAATAGTTAGGGGTCACGGAACGTCATGTCGCAAATAATGGCGACCAACCTTAGGGAATTTACCGAAATCCGAATCTATGCGGTCAACGCGTCAAGGCGTATTTCAGTGCAGTTTCAACACATTCGGCAGCTTTTTCAGTGAAAATGAAACTCCTGGTAGCGCTTAAACATTTCGATTCCGTAAGACTGCAAATTACAAGCTCAATGTCCACCGTCGCAGCACGCTTCTTTCCATCAGTCTTTTGTTTGTGTCTTTTACCAACAAACAACACAGGAAATAAATACTCATTTTACGTGTTACATGAAAAACAACCGCCAGTCTGCTGTTTGGCTGGTGGTACGCGACTTAACACGCCTCCGGTCCCAGCCAACGTATAAGACAGAACGTAGGATTGCACCTGCAAAATCCATGACATCATTT